ACGTGTGCTCTTCCGATCTTAAATCTGGAATATGTATACCAGATATGCCAAATTCGGTAATTATTTGGGCCTTTTCCATGCACTGGACGTAAACAAAAAAATTATATAATTTCTTATAAAATATAAAAATATATACATGTATATTTATATTTACATTTTTTATATAATGCAATTTTTATTTTTTTAGAAAAATTATTTAATTTTTTGTTTCTATCCGGCATATGAAAAAGGCCCAAATAATGATCGGATTTGGTATGCCGAATCCGGCACACCTCATCAATATCTGTATTCGGGCCTAATCCGGCGCAAGCTAAATCTGGCATACCGGACCAAATTTCTACTCGGGATTGTCCTTACGAATTACGATCTTTTGTTTTTAGAGACTTTATTTATCGTGACCAGGATTTTACGAATTCAATAAAATTTGCGAATAATATTGCTTCTTGCGAATTGTGTGCTACGACCTATTTTGAAGCTGAATAGTTTTATCACCCGTAGGTTTCCGCGGATTTACAAAATTTCGCGATAATGTTGCTACACGCGAATTATTATGGTTTACGGTCGAAGACGTTTTGTAAATATTCCGAAATTCTCTTTCCTCTTATCGGTGTATTTAATCAAAACTTGTTAGTGCGACGGCTCGTTGGCTGTACATATATCTAGACCGCAGAGGAAACCGATATCGGAGGAAGAACTTATCCGGCTCTTATCATGGCCGTTTCCGACTGGCGTTAAAAACTGTTTATATATGTTGCGCGACGGTGCTAACTCGTGCGCATGTATTCACGTAATATCATGCCTTTTGCTTCGTTTGCGTCGATTTAAAATTAGAAAAAGCTTGCCTCATGAATATTACATCGGTTTACGAATAACATTCGAGTATCTCCGCATATTGCCCCGCCGAATTATTTTCACGCGATTTGTCGTTGAATTATCTTCTTTCACAAATTATATACGATATAATCTTTTGTGCAAAGATCTCCACAAATACATATATATAATTATAATAAAAGTATTCACTGTGTGAAAACAATTTATTCAAGGATTATGCGAATTTAGCGGACTTATAAAACGCCCGAGAGGCGATATATTCCTTGTTTTTTTTTCTATTCTTGCGCGGCGTAATACAATGTTCATTAGTAATTCGACAAACATGCGGCATGCGGATGTTGTATCGCATAATCGTCGCGCTGTCATCAATTCATTTATCAGAAATTTTCTACGAACTTCTTTTCGTTTCACCGCGTATACGACGCGTACAATTCATGATCGATTCATTTAACTCAACTCAAGTATTCATTTAATCGTTACCAGGAAAATCCGTAAAGATGAGATCGACGGTATATATGCGACGAAAAATAATTTGTCGTATATCTCAGTGAATCGGGAGAGAGCTCGGATCGAACGCAAAGCCTGTTCCTAAAATCGGTAAAACGGAGTTTTGAAGTCTTGCAAGTTACAAGTAGTTATGGCGTAAGTATGAAACCGAGAATGAATTGACACAAGTTGAACTGCATTCCTATATATAAGAGAAAAAAATCCGAGAATTCCTAAAGTTACGCGTGCTACTTGGGATTGTAATTTCTCCTACGCCTGACAGCGTGGTCTCTCGCAATCGATTATATTTTTCTCTAATTCGTATCCTGTTGCCGGTACGTATTGAATCGTAAATTTCGAGCGCAGCCGAGAGACATGCGCTCTCTCGTCGGTTACATACAAACGGTTAGATTCAGCAAAATCGTAACGGCCAGCGAAATTATAATCGGACCGGGTGGGGCAGGAAGAACGGGGGGGAAGGGGGGCCAACCGCAGTCGAAGCGCGCACCGGCCGCTCTCTCGCGTTCGCTCGCGAAACGCTCGTCTTATCTGCAGCGCGGCGCGGACGGCTGGCGCGGTGCGGTTAAAAGCTTTGACCTATGGCAGTCGGTCGACGATAGCCGGCCCGTGCATTCCACTCCGAGCGCACCCTTTCTGAATGGCCCGCCTGTTTCTCGCCGCGATCGCACGACGCCGCTCCGCTCCGCCGCCGCGACGACGAGCGAGAGCTGCCGCCGCCACCGCCGCCGTCTCTGGCGTCGTCTAGCGTTAGTAGCGTTCGAGTGGCTCGTCCCGTGAATGGCGTAAGTCAGAATTTTGAGAGCAACTGCGGCGTTAATGAAGCGTCTACGACGGCGATCTCGGAATACGAAACATTTGCATTTGTACGGTATTGCGGGTTTTATCCGCGATTCCGGTATTTCGCGCTTTTAACGAGCAATAGATCCCTGCCAGAGGAGACTTTGATCGTGGGCGCTTTCGAGTACCTATCTACAGCTCGGCGGCGATAAAACGCGTCGCGCGGTAGCGTAAATAGAATATTAACTTCGATATTTGAGAGATAACGGGAACGCGGGCGTCCGTCCCCGAGATTTTCGAGCGGGATCGATGTACAGTCGCGTCGTGAATCGTGTAAAGCGCGCTCTGCACCAGGGGAAACGGCTGAAGTGGAGCGACTGATAAAAGACGAAGACCGGAGGAAACTCGCGGAGCGTCCAACGATTAATGATCTCGATATACGCACGATTCTCGGAACGCGCGTAATAATCGGGCGCGCCTCGAAAGCCTGAACGCGCCGGCGGCTCGTTCACGTTTACAGAGTCGCAGAATCTAATTCTGCGCCGTTCCTCCGATCCGCGCGCTCCGGCTCCGATCGCTCCCGTGCAGGCTCAGGTGAATGAGCGAGCGGACGTGAGCGCGCGCGTGCGACGGTTGTGTGCGTAATCGATGCAACAGCACGATTTCGAATGCAGGTTCGCGCGTAACTCGGGAGTGGCTCTCGCAGGAGGAGTATGGAACGTTCAAGAGTTTGCTCTCTCGGATAGTAACGCTCGAGCTCTCCTCAGTCTCTACCACTCTCGGTCCTCAATTTCCTCATCTCTCGACTCTCAGTTCCGATTCTCGTTTTTTTTTCTTCTTTAACTCTTCACCTCTCACCTCGTAAAATAAATCTCGCGTATTTAAAGTTAACGGTCAGACCGCAGAGTGAATCCTTTTTCGTGTTACAGACGAAATTACAACGTGATAGGGCATAACGTCGTTCGGACGTTTTGCATTCCCCTCGGTGCCGAGAGTATAAAAATCGAAAATCCAAAGCGCGCCGCGCGGCTTTAAGTCGAGGTAAAAGCGCGCCGTCGAGGACGGCAATCGGTCGCGCTCGAACGAGACTCTCCCGGTTCTTCCACACCGTGGGCGCCGCGAGTGGGTTGGTGACCACCGAATCGAGAACTCCGCGGCCCACTCGTACCGCGCTCGCCCACGTAGAAACCGAACCTCTCTTCGTGACCGCGTAGGTGCTGACCCGACGCCTCGCCATACCCCGTCGTCGTCGTCGTCGTCGTTGCTCGACCATTCCGATTTCTTTCATTTTCTCGAAAACTTGAATCCAACTTCGTCAGGATTCTCTCGCTTGGCAATGAAAATTAACGATTTTCAACTCTGTCTTTTGTTAAAAGTATCTTACAGTTGGAAAGATATTTTATTATAGGAATATCGCTTTAGAGAGAATACTCGCTATTACAATGATTATTTATGTTAACGAAGATTCTCAATGTAATATAAACACTTTATAAAATAGTTGCTAAAAAATGTTTTAAGAAATTATTGAAAAAAAGAAATAAAGTGATACTAGGTAAATAATTGGCTCATGTGTCTGATCTGATTTAGTATATAACACAACATTTTCGTTGCAATGTTTTCAGGTGGGGATGAAGCGCGTGTCGCGAGGGCGAGAGGAAGCGGACGCGGAGCATTACCGAGCCCCATCCTCGCTAATGGAACGCCCTCGTCGAGAGTGTCACCACCTCGCGCGGGCTGGGCAGTGCGGATTACCGAGGCGACACTTACCCCAACGTCAAGTCAGCGTCCATCGGTTCCAGATACACCGTCGGCGTTCGTCGAACGATGGGCTAGCGAGCGGACGGCACCGGTTTGGTCGGGTCGTGCCGCAGCGTCGTTGTCAGCAGCAGCAGCAGCAGCAACGGCAACAAACACACGAGGAGGATCGTTCTCCGCAGCGGATCGAGGACCAGCTAGCACGGCTGGTATCCGTCTCGAGCATCGTCGGGTCGAGGAGAGGGAGGAGTTGGAGGCGACGAAGAAGGTGGAGCTTTGGCAACAGCAACAGTGTCAGGATCAACAGCAGCGGTGTCATTTCGAGACGCCAGCGACGCAAAGTCCCGGAGCAGCAGGACGTTTTGAATTGAGCGGTCGGCCGATGTCGCGTAACGATGCGATATCGCCGCTCGCGCGGTCTCCCTCCTCGCGAACGAGCTTCGCCGCCGGCAACGACGACTGTATCAGCGGCGTCGGCGACGACGCGGACTCGCGTCTCGTCATCGCCGAGGCGCGCGTGCACGATCACAGCCGACCGTTTCCGCCGCCGCGGTTGCCGCTCGTGCACGTGACGACGATGCCGTCCGTGCCACCGCCACCACCGCCGGCACCGGTGTCGCGATCGGTACCTGGGTCTCCGACGCCCCGTGTGGCGCCACTCACCATGCCTCTGACGCCGTTATCAAGTTCCTTCCGGAGCAGGCCGTCCCTGCGTCGCCCGCAGAACGTGGAGACGTCACCGAGCGACGCGAATTCCAGGAGTCTGCTGTCGCCGTCGTCCACGGACACGACGATAACGACGATCGCAACAACGCCCAGGAGTCCGATCGGCGAGGTGAGCCTCGCCACGCCGCGACCGGACGGCGAGAGGACCATCAACGAGTACGTCGAGGCGCCGTTCAAGAACTCACGCTGTAATCAGGAACGACGCCTCGATGCCGACAGCAAGACGGCCGGCGACTGTCCGAAGACCGAGAGGAGGCATCATCATCACCATCATCACCACCACAGAGGCCACGAAGATTCCACGGTGGTGCCGACGCATCGAGGACGCGGTCGCGCGAGGAATCAGAGTCTGCGCGGCACGGCAACCGGCGGCTCTCCTGTCGCTACGTCGACGAACGCGGCGGCAGCGAACGCCGTCACGAAGCAGCCGGTCTCCTTCACCAAGGAGCCGGCCAACACGCTTGGCACGAGGACCTACGATCCGGCTGGCCTGTCGATCATATGCGATTTTTGCGGTAGATGTCGATGCGAGTCGTGTCGGGAGCCGCCTCCGCTACCTAGCAAGTGGCTCTGCGACAATACGTGCCTCTGCTCGGCAGAGACCGCCCTAGACTACGCATCGTGCCTGTGTTGCGTCAAGGGTCTCTTCTACCACTGCGTGGACGGCGGCAGCGGCGGTGGCGTCGCCAGCAGCATGGACGACGAGGCCGCGACGAGTTGCGCGGACGAGCCGTGCTCCTGCACCGGTAACCGCACGGCATCCAGATGGGCCTGTCTAGGTGCCCTGGCGCTAGTGATGCCCTGCCTGTTGTGCTACTGGCCCTGCCGGGGTTGCGTCACCCTCTGCGAGGCATGCTACGCGCGTCACGCCGCGCAAGGCTGCCGGTGCAATCCGAACGCGACCGGTAGCAGACATCACCCCATCACCAGCGATATTGGAGACTCGAGGGACCCGGAGAAGAGGCTGCTGGATCCGGTCACGCCGGAGCTTTGAGCGTAGACCTATCTACACGCCGCGTGGTTTTTCAGTGACCGGAAGAAGATCAGGAAATCTAGAAACGTGTAGGACCCCGCCCTGATGTGTGGACATATCGATGTGTGGGGGGGGGGGGGGTGGGGTCGGAGGGAACAAAAGTGAATTGCATCAAGTACAAGAGCTGCATTTAAGTCGAAGAGAACGATATCGGATTTTGACGAACTTGTACGTTTGACGTCGCGAATGTCTTTATTTATTATTCTTCCATGAAAAGTGCGTGCGTATGTGTGCGAGCGTTTGCGTATTCTGCGTATGAGAAAGAGGGAGAGAATGAGTGAGTGAATGAGTGAAAGAAAGCAATACGAAAGAGTGTACGTAGCCCGTATGTGTATGCGTGTGTATTTGTGCGTGTTTTGTGTGTGCGAACGGTAGAGAGGAATGAAGTACGCGAGTAGCGTATCGTCCAGACATACCACTTACGCATAGATAACTCTATACATAATGAATTATACGCATTGTACCACGCGCCGAGCGAAATCGAACGAACGGTAATATATCGGGGGTCTGCGGTCAGGGGGGAGGGGGGAGAATTACATACACACACAGAGTAAAGAAAAAAAGCTAAAGTATATATTATATATATAAATATATAAATATATATATATATATAGATAGAAATGTATATTGTATATTATGTTTGTATAAAGAACAAACTTTTCTACGGTTAATTTATTTGCGGCTGTAACGCTAAGTGTATGGGTTCATGATAGAGCGAGAGACGATTGATAGAATGACGGGAGAGAGAGGGGGGGGGCAGAAACGTAAACAAATTGTACCAATGACATGTGCGCATGGACCAATATGGCCGCTGAGTTAAAGTCCACTAGCATGACAAAAGTTTTTTTTTACGGTAAAAGAGATATGAGATCAAATGGAGAAAGAGAGAGAGAGGAGAGAGTGGGGGAAGAGAGAAAGAGATAGAAATAGAGTTTAAAACACTAATTTTTTTTGTTATCACGACGTGATTTATAAATAAATGCGTTGAAACCGCATTGCGAGAAAGCCATATTGATAAAATCAAGTTACATCAAGTTTGCACGAGTGAGGAAAGGGGGAGGAAGAGGCGGAAAACAGCGGAGAGGCCCGCGTAGATCGCGATTTCCATTTCGTTAATGTTTTTCTCCAGTATTATCTAGTCCTGCGAGCATCCTTTTCTCAGTTAGCGTTTGTCATTTAAGACCAGGCCATGCGGCATGCACGCGCGAGAATGGAGTCGCGAGAAAGAGGAAGTCCTCCCCCCCTCCCGCTCTCAACCCCCGTGCTGTCTACCGGTGATTTCGTTAGCTATAAATAGGAACTTAGATCGGTAACATCGCAGACAAACTCGCACTCGCTTTTCTCACCGGTCGCGGCAAAATGGCGAACTTTTTTTTCCCATGTGTTTTACTGATATGTATTACAATGCAGATCAGTGATCTGTTTTTTCTCCTCTCTCTCTCTCTCTCGCTCTCTCTCTCACTCAAGGGATACCGAATGCGAGCACTGGCGCGATTTAACATTAGAACCATCATTAAGTTTTTATGATTTATTATATTTTTTACACACGTATGTGCAAAGTATGAAAATACTTATAATAGTGTGTATGAAAATTTTCGACGAAAATTTTGTACTTCTACACATCGAATCACCTCTCAATGTGTCACAGTTTTATGTTCTCAGCGATTCTAAATAATCAATTGCGTAATCGAGGGATGAGGGATTGACCTCCCAGGGACATGGCAATACGGTTCTAATGTTAAACGCTGATATGCGCCGGCGCGATTATATTTTTCATTAAAAAAAAAAATCACCCGCGTTAGCTTGTCGGCAGGAATTCGTATACGGCGACTGGTTTTTCCCTTTCAGCGAATATTCCTCGGCGCGAAGTATCTTCGCGCGGATTGGAAGCCGATCGATCGTGGAGTGGGGTCGCACGACTCGATTTTAGCATTTCAGCGCGAGGCGTGGGCAGATGATTGTGTGTGAGCGAATGCTCGGGTGTAACTGGGTCGACTGCATGGGCAAAATAATCGCGTGTGGAAGACGAGCCGAGAAGCAGCGATGATCAGTTGTGGATCAGGTATGCGGGGGAGGAGGTGCCCGCGATTCTCTCTCGAGCAATCTGTCATTGCGCGCGTTCAAGGAGAAATTGCTCGGAGATTGAAATAAGCTCAACATTTCCTCCCCCCCTCTCCCACTCTCTTGATGGCTCGCTCGCCCTTCTTGCGAAGGGTGGGCACTGAGACAACGGGAATAAGGAGAGCGCGATGGGACAGCACGAAAAGAGCGTTATGGCCTCAGTGCGAGAAACGTCTAGACGGTGCGGAAAAAGCGTAACGAGGTTTCTAATGTAATGTAAGATGAATGCGGCGGAATAGTATGATGGGGGCAAACATCGAACCGGGTGATGTCGACGCGTGTCGAATTGGCCTTCGTCCTTTCGCGATTCGCGAGTCCTCGGCGTTCACGGTCCTTCCAAAGAGTGTTTCCTCGTTCGAAGCAAGAAAACGGACCAAACGATTTCCCCAGTCAAGGCAGAACGACATCTGGTCTTCGGACACGCGAATTCTCGGAATCTCTTAAATCATCGGTCTCGACCACGCTTTAACTGATTCCTCGGCTCTTTCTGGTTCTAATTCGATTTGCTTCCGGATAGAACCAGAATCGAAACTCACACGTGCGCCAGCTGTACGATGATGTCTTTTTTTTTTTTTTAATCTAATTTCGCAACGCTTCTCCTTTTTTAGCGTCGATCGGCGGGATCGGCGGGACTTGTGCTCGACTCGAATCGAAATCGCGAAACTGGACGTGGACGTTCGCCCGAGGACAATGCGATTGCACACCGATCGACTGGGCGAAGGCGTGAATGGAACGCGAGCGCGTGTTGTATATGTACGTATGCGTGTGTATGTGTATGCGTGCGTGTGTGTGCGTGCGCGCGCGTTTCTATGCGCGCACGCGGGTGTGTCTCGCCAAGCGAAAGAAAAGAAGTTTTTATTAATGGTAAGTCTATACGATCTGTATATGTCTTGTAAATATATATATACATATATATACATATATATATCATGCATAGATATGTATACACTTGTGCGTTTATATATTCGACACGCGTTCGTGGAGAGATCTCTCTGCGAGGACGTGTTTAATCCCGACAATTCGACATCCTTTACATTAAGCTCTGTTTTCAGTCTTACTTAAAGCACGCAATCTAATTGCATCTCGAAATGAAATTCCGATAAAGACCTAATAGATTAAAAAAAAAAAAAAAATTCGATAAGTGAATAGATATGACATTTTTAAAGAGAAAGACTCTAAATTCATCATACATTATAATGCTATTCGCTTATTTAACTTTTTTTTATATGATGTTTAAATTTAAAAAACTATCTACAGAGTCTAATTTCTTAGCGGTTGTATAATGACGTTTTATTGTAAGACTTCGAGATACATGGTTTTCATGAGAACAGTTGATGGAATAGAAGAATCTACTTGCTCTACCGTTGGATATTTTTCATTTCTTTTTTTGGTCGATCGTGCGTATCACGTCCGAGGAGCATCCTTCCGTATGTCTTCTCGTCATCGACGTCAACATCATCGCCAAGAAGCCGAGAGAGAGAGAGAGTCCGCTTCTGCTCTGTTTGCTTTGCAGCCGATCGACAAGGCGATCATTACTGAGAGAGGTCCCAGATCGTCATTAGCGGGCAATTGAATGCACCGTGGCGCGCGGCGAGGGAAGCGAACGGATGTAAGCCCGTTAGGCAGGCGGGCACGATGCAGTTCTGCCGTAACGTTCGCTCGCTGCAGCCGCCCAGTCTCTCTCTCTCGAGAGGGATAAAATCGAGATAGAGCGTCGTATAGCTGTGCCGAGGTGTTAACGGCAGAATTGTGGATACATCTTGCGCCACACGCGGGCGTAAATTAATTCTACATGCATACGTAACAATCTTGAAATAAAACGCGAACGGAGTGTCAATTATTTTAACAAAATAATTGATAGATTTCGTTTTAGCCAAGTCGAGGTGAGATATCTCTTTCGACGAAATTTTATAATTTTCAACGTTAACTTTGTATAAAAGTATATAAAATCGGCGCGAGACTAACCGGAAAGACAAGATTCTGCAGCGATCTAATTAAGATTCTCTCATTATTGATTATCAGCGTAATTTCATCATAGATTTATCGATACATTTAGAGATACAGTACGAAATTAATATCTTTATTTTGCAAAGGATATTATCTAACGATATTCCTCGACCGCGTGATGGCTCGCAGGTGCATCCCGCGTTCAAAATTATCAACAGGAGGCCCCGCCGGGCGACGAATTCGTTAACGAAAGTCGAAAAACAGCCGGCCGTCCGCCCGGCGTCTGTTTCTCTCGTTCGTGACCGATTTGTGATGCCACGCGTTGATCGAGAAGAGGTAGAAGAAGGAGACAGATAGAGCGCGTAAGAGGGAGGAAAAGGACGTGGAGAGGTCCGGACGCGCGCGACGAGCCGAAAATAAGAAGAGAGCAAAGTGGCCGGCTGGTCCAGTGGTGTCATGTGACCGGAAGTGGCATTCCTTCCTCCGCCTCCTCCCGTCCACCACCGCCGTCTTCCACGAAGCCACGAAGAGCCAGTATCAAGCCTCCCTCTTTCATCTTCCCTTCCTCCACGCTTCGTCCTCCTTCTCCACCACCTTCTCCTCCTCGTCTCTCGTCGTGTTGTTACTTATCCCTTCCTCCACGCTCGAACGAACGTAGCGACAACGGAAGATTGTCCTCTCTTAGCGACTCGTTAAGCATGTCAAAAGACATCGGGGCATCACGAGGGACGTCGACAATGGATTTCCGCGTTTAAAGCGCGATGTCGAGATACCGTGAAAATCATACGGGCGGACCCCATCCCCTTTTCCTATACTTCCCCTCCTACACGTCCCAATTGAATAAAACGTGGGAGTCGTCGAGCGATTGTCAATAAAATCTGTTCTTTCTAGTTGTGTTATAAACATAATATGCTATATATTTTCTACATATGAAAAGAGAGCTCTACGCATTTTCGGACATCGGGGAGGGAAAAAAAAGCGAAAGAGAGAGAACTTGCAAAAATGCGGCTGAAACAAATAGATTTTATATCACGAAGGTTTTACGTTTGCTCTATTTAGCTTTGCTTATTTTCTACATTCGAACCGAGGTAGATATTCATGTTGAGAAAAAGTGAAAAAAAAAATTGTAAAAAGATGTATAGAACTTGGCTCGAAAGAACGGTTTAAATTGTGACGATGTTATTTCGTGACCTGAAAACGGCAGAATGAATGTTACATCTACATACATTACGCTTTCATCCTTCGGCTGCTAAATTGCAGGATGACATCGATCTGGTTTCAAGGTATCGAAATAGGAGTCCGCGAGGTGACATAACGTTTTCATTCTTTCGCCGTTCCCCCTCTCCCCTCCCTTATACGCGAAGTCAGTCGTCAAATAACATCGATGTAGAAATACCGAAATAATATCCGTGAATCGATATAAGATTTCGCTTCCTTTCGCTTTCGAATCGCCGCGAACGACGCCCAAGCCATTCTCGGTTTCGCGTCGCGTCGAAATGAAAAGAAGTATACCGCGGAGTAGCGCGCCTCCGCGCGAATTGTCGCGATAAGATCCTGGCTTTCCTACGGCGGTCGTTCCCGTTTCGCGATACCGGAGAGGGGGTGGGAGGACGGAAAGGAATCTGGCGGACCTCGTTACGACGTCGTCGTCGCCGTCGCCCCCTCCGTCGTCACCACCGATGTCGCGCACCTTGTTCCTGCTATTCAAAGGTCGCTGCATGCCACCGCGGGCACACCACTGTCACGGACAAAGACCTTCGACGAGTCCGGCTCTCCGGCGCGGATGTCATCCGCGGCGACGCGGCGGCGGCGACGGTGGCGGGCGGTGGCGCGCCGAGCGAGTGGACACGAGCCTAATTTTAGGGGTCCCGCTCTTCGCGTCCGCCCGAAGGGAAGAAGAAGACCGGGAGAGCCGGCGGCCGCGACGAGCCGAGCGGAAAGAAGGAGACGTTTTTCTCGGGCGGACGAAGTAGAGAACGGGAGAGCGAGAAAGCAAAAGAGAGAGAGAGAGAGAGAACTCGCGCACGGTCGACGTCAGCGTGATGTTTTCGCGACGGAGCCGGCCGCGAGTGTTCTATATTAAACTCCGGGCGGACGCGGGCAGACCTATTGCGAAACGGACGCCCTGATATTTTCGTTGCATCGCGCGAGTAACTGCTTCCGGCCGAGTGTTCTCTGTCTCTCGGCCAGAGCTCTCTCTCTCTCTCTCTCTCTTTCTCCTTCCCTCTCGTTATCTTTCTCTCTCTTTTCTTCGCTCCCTCTGTAGCTCTCCTCCATTCTCGCTACCACCTCATCGTTACTCCGTCTCTTTCCCCTCCTCGTCCTCCTCTTCTCTCTTTCACTCCTTCTTTCGCCCCGTCTCCCGATCTCGCCTCGACCGTCCTCTTCTGGATCGACGGGCGCAGACGGCCGTGCTTCTTCAGCCGGCCGGAAACACCTACGCACTCGCTGGTAGCGTGTGAGAGCGCTATAAGGTGGGACGGAGGCAATGGGATAAGCCTACTCACGAGAGATTGCTGTCGTCGACGACCTCCTTGCTTCTTGCTCTTGTTGCGTTTCTTCCTCCTCTTCCCCCCGGCCACCTCTTCCTCGCGCCGCCGCTTGCCTCGCCTTCGCTCCTTCCTTCTCTCCGTCTTCCTCTCCTCGCCGCTCCCTCGCCACCGACCCGTGCGATGGAATTCACCCAAGTTTTTTGCGCCCGCGAATAAACACCACCGTACGGTGGAAGACGGCCCAGCCCGAAAGCCGCGATCGGTCAACTCCCTTTCGGTCTCTCCTGCCTTTGCCCCTTTTCCCTTTGATATTTATTTTCTACTTGGTCAATGCGGGGAAGAGGAGGTCGCGATGATGTTTGTGGCGGAACACGTCATCGGGCCGAAGCCCTTCGGTGCGGAATCTAATCCAAAGTCTCGTCCAGCGTCGCTCTCTTCAACATTTGTTCCTCAGATCGATAGCTTTCTGGCTCAAGATTTCTGATCGTATGAACGTGTAAACATTTTTGTAAAATTGTTAAGAAAAAAATATCGATGAGAGACTTCACTGATTTGAATTTGCAAAGAATGGAACGCAAAGAATTTCTGGTGTGAGATACGTGACCTTTCCAAGGTCAAGTCATACGAGAGAACAATGGACTGATCTTGACTGCATTGTAATTTTTAAGACATTTTTTCGACAGAAGAATTTTGAATTCCTAGAAAGAAAAACTTTACTTAATTTTAAACTGAGACTTAGACATAATGTATACTTAAATAAAAAAAGCAAAACATAGATATTTTAATGTATTTTATAAAATTAGATAATAAAAGTTTGTCTCTCTTTCTCTCGCAATGTATTGTTTAAAAATATTGAAAGCATAAACTAGATTTCTAATTTCATAATGTCATTTGCTATTTCTATTTTGTTTTTATTTAAACATGATTTTTCGTATCTCACAGTCACTTGAAGATTGTGTCATAATTCTTTGTATTTTATTCATTGCTGGTTATAGCTCCACACGAATAAGTATGCAGTTCCATTCAAGAAAATATTGTTATTCAACAGTTTCGCTTCAAGTTTTTATTAAAAATCAAATGGAAGAAAGAGACACAATATTAAAATGACAAGCATAATTAAGATTAACTGTAACAGAATCTTAATATTGATTTCATATAGAAATAATATAATTTTCTCAATTTTGAAATTATTTTTTGTTATATCCATTGAAAAAAATAATGTTATATAACATCGAAACCTTAGCACAAGCCTTAAGTGATGGAACTGTCTGCTGTATGTTCATTAGATTGTACTACTTTTGTTTCGGTTGTATTTTGTGCAGCTGTATCTTCTTTTAATTTAATTCTTTCTTCTTTTTCAGGTACTATTAGCTTATGATATCCACTTCCAATTAATGGCAAATGAGGTGCTATCGCACTTGGTTCCAGGAAGAGTGCCGGAGAAACCTTACGAGAGAAATAATATATTTTAGTTTCTATCATCCCATACATTTGTCAGACTTTTAGACTTTATTAATTAATAACTTAATTAATATAAGTTAATTCTAAATTAATAGAATAGCTAGAATAATGACGTTACATTTTTATGCAATATACTTTTTTAATTGAACAAATAAATTCGTCGATACGCTTAATATTTTCATTTGAAACTCTTAAAATAAAGACTATGTCGTAATGTATGCTAAATACTTACACAAATATCTTGAACTTTAGCTTCTCGTGATGTAAATTCACGCAATAAGTAATTTTTTCCAAATTCGTGATAAATACGTGTATCATTTATCCTCAGCATTACATTATCGATTCTAAGAAAATATCGTAGCAGTATAAAAAAACTGCCAGGCATGACTCTCTATGCAAAAAAATTAAGATTGAAATACAATTTGTTGCATAAATATTATTAAAAGCATATTACGAGATAACTTACAATTTTGACTGAACTCACGGCAATGCCATTGTCATGAAGCTCATCCTCAAACAATGTTAAGTCATGATAAAACATAATCTTATCCCTTTGTTTCAATTTGTCTATATCAATTCTCTCATTTGTCTCTTCGACTTCGAAGCCAGATGTTGTACCTGTATAATTAGTAGTAAACGTCCAATCGAAAGGCTTGACCTTTTCTTCTAAGTATTCACTACTTTCTGATCTGCCGATGCACAAGTGAATAGAAAAATTATTTGCAACACTAACTGTATATAAACTTATCAAGTTTAACAGCATATTATATACCTTGATTCTTTCCACGCCTCTGCACAAGCAAGCTGTACGTTAATCTTTCCATTTGAAACATATCTCAGAGCATCCAAAGCATTAAACTGTAATAATGGTCCATCCTGATGCGTCACGGATAACACGTTATTGGGGAAAACCATGTCTGGCATGTGTGGCAATTCTAATGCATTATTATATCTATAAGAATAAGAATTGCGTTTTTGAGTTATGCTGATATTACGATATTTTCAAGATCAACGACAAACGAGTAACATACACGCAAAATTGACAGGCATCTGCATTGCTGCCGCAGCCGTCCTCGCTTTTGGAACACTTAGAATGAAGTATGTGAGACTGAGTATACTTGATACGCCATGGGGGGCAAACATGTTCCTCCTCGTTTACCGGTAGCCTTAAAATATGGATACCACCGTGCATCTTTATGGCTGTCATGGCCTAAAACTGAAAAGACCCTTGTATGTATGAAGAGAGATTGTCTAACCTATATGGCTAGGTTAGACAATCTCTGAAGAAAGGAGAGAAAAGGATCAAGTTAACAATTATATATCTATAATTATCATGCTTATTTGCGTAATTATATAGGATAAAAGTTAATGTGTATATAAGAAGTTATAAATTCATACCGAGTTATTTATCTAATCAGAATATAACTAAACATTTAAGCCTACTTAAAGTACCAAAAAAATAGGATCAATTTTTGCAACAAATCAAATTAAATTTTTAAGAAATTACAATTTTATTCTTTAAATTATTCTATTTTTACATTACAATATTTACATTATGTTTGTCGATGATTTTAGCAGTTTGTATATCTTCTCTACGTGTTAGATAACCTCACTCAACGTCTCAGCATCATGAACTAATAAGATAGACAACATAGGTAGCCGTAGAGTCCTAGATTATCAGAGAAGCGCGACCGGTGTTACGAGTTCTGATTGGACTTGCAAATGGCCAATCATAAGATTGATTTATCGGTATTATAAATGGCTGTCGAATAAATCAATCTTATGATTGGCCATTCGACGCCATTTTTAATATTTTCTAGTACTTTTGCGATACTGCCATAAGCCGGTCGCGCTTCTCTGATAATCTAGGACTCTAGGTAGCCGTAGCGTTTAGTGCCTTGTATTCCGATAGTATTATGTTGTCTACACTGTACATACATACTAGAAAACTTTGCGGGCAGGCGTGTGGCAGCCATGGCATGGCAGGATTGGCAGGAATGGCAGGTGATGTGTGTGTGCAACACTGCAAGGCGGTCAGCCGGCGAGTTTGCTAGAGACAGAAGTGTACGTTAACCTATTATAACCAAAAAAGTACCTTTACAAATTTTATTTACTATCTCTTTTTATTTAAAGTAATGTCAAGATTTATCTAATTTATTTAAACGTTTTTATACAAACAAATTTTCTGTCAATATTTCATTTGTACCAATTTCAAGAAACAGATTGTTTTTCGATAATATACATATTTCACTTTATTGTTCTCGAATGAAATAATTGCTTGTTTCAGACCAACATATTGTTTTTACAATGGATGGTGTTAACTCATTTAATGTATTTATCTCGAGACATAAAGTACAACTTCAGTCTTACGGTGTCCCACAATTATTTTGGGAAGTTTTGTACAAGAAGTTAAAAGATCAGATTTATGATGCCGGCCTTGTCTTCCAGTTGACAAAAGTGGAATATGAAAACGGAGAAAAGCATGTTACAGAACCAATATGGAAGCTAATTGTAACTGCAGAGAATGGCATTTTTGCGCAGGATTCTAATAATATTTATCTTATCGATCATGCATGGACGTACGACGTCGGTAGTGCACAACAGAATTTAATTCAAGTACCCGGCCTACTTGATCGAATGTGCACTCTCATGGGAGTGAACACTGAGCTGGACGAGCAGGAGAAAGTCGAGAATGTTATGAACGAGATGTGGCGTTACAATCAGTCGTATTCGGTGAACTACGGAGAGATAGAGGATAGAATGCCGATATGGTACATCATGGACGAGGTTGGTTCAGCGATAAACCACAGCGACGAGCCAAATTTCAGAGCTGTCCCTTTTCTGCATTTGCCGGAAGGTGTAATTTATACGCTTCTGTTTCCCGTTAGAGACGTTGCTGCGGGGCGTGAAGTCACGAGGGATTTTGTAGAAGGTCAGACGAGGGATCCCGAAAAGAGGCGTGCGCTGTTATTGCCTTGGGTCCACAGCACTTTTGAGGAGGAGAGTTTTGAACAGAGCGAGCCAGACGCGGATTATTTTTCGGCGGGTCATATCCCGGAGAGCCTGCCGGAGAACCTGGATGCAGTCAAGGCAGATAACAGTCGAAAATTCAAGGTTTTCTCGCAATACAGTTTTGTGAATAATTACTTGACGGATCCGGCATTTGAGATTACCGACAACGAGGAAGAGGCGGATATACTATGGTTCGTGTCTCACTACAAGTCGTACAAGGAATTGAACGCTTCCTCGCCCCACGTATTTGTAAATCAATTTCCCCACGAGAACGTTTTGACGACGAAGGATCTTCTGTCGATCGTATGCAGAAGAAAGGCATCGGGCAAATTGTATGACTCGGATACTCTCGAGACTTATCCGGAATGGCTACCGACGACGTACAATCTGAGCACGGAATTGGTGCAATTTGTCGCTTACTTCACGCAACGGGCGGATAAGGACTTGGATAATCATTGGATTTGCAAACCGTGGAACTTGGCGAGGGGTTTAGACACTCACATCACGAACAATCTCTATCGTATACTGCGGCTGCCTTGCACCGGCCCAAAGATCGCGCAGAAGTACATCGCGCGGCCAGTCTTGTACAATCGATCGGACATCAGTCAGGTGAAGTTCGATATTAGGTACGTTGTGCTGCTCAAGTCCGTGAAGCCGCTACGCGCGTACGCTTACGCGAACTTCTTCCTGCGCTTCGCAAATCGACCGTTCGCGCTGAACAATTTCGACGCTTACGATCAACATTTCACCGTGATGAATTACACCGAGGGGGATACGCTGTTCCACGAGAGGTGCGCCGATTTCATCGTGGAATGGGAGAATCAGTATCCCGATTATCCCTGGAAGACTTACGTCGAGCCGAGGGTACTCTCCGTCCTGAGGCAGACCTTCGAGGTTGCGGTCGCGCAACCGCCGCCGAAGGGGATAGCCGAGAGTCCGCAGAGCAGAGCCGTGTACGCCACCGACCTGATGCTGGAGTGGAGAGGCTGCGAGATGCAGCCCAAGCTGTTGGAGATGAATTTTACGCCCGACTGCCAGCGGGCGTGCGAATATTATCCGGACTTCTACAATGACATTTTTAAATGCCTGTTCCTGGATATCGACAATCCGGAAGTGTTTCACGTGTTAGATTCAGCCGGCGAATAATATCATTTATATAATTTAAAATCATAAAATGAGAGATTTTGTTACTATTGTGTAAGTATACATTGTTCGTTTTTGCTACGCAAAAATACATAAAAAAGTACATTTCTCAATGAAATTCGTATGACTATTAGACTTTTGTTTGTTGGCTGTGACTATGTAACGAAATTATTCGAAACGCATGATCGTTTGCTACTTAAATGAATTCCATATTCATGAGCGAAATATGGAAATGTATGTGATCGTTGAATTATTTCGGACTCACATTCGTATTCGGATCGATGAATTGTCTATGTCATGATGTTACTTTCGATGTTTACATAAGTAAATTTCTAATTTAGCATTAATTATATTTGCATTATTAACTGAATTGCATTGCGAAATTTAATTACATTTGTGAATTACGTTTCCTAAGGCTATCTATAACTTTGCGTTATCTTTTATTCATTGAGTTAATTAGCATAAAGAATCCGCAGATTTAATCCGCACAAGATTAGTCCGGGATATGTATAATTTCAAAATAAAGCGCCACAAATGAATTAGTTCGTGGAACGCGTGTCGGCGTAACAATCGCGACTCTTTACAGCCTCCGGGAGCAGCTGGCTCCTTTCTCGTTTCCCCGCCCCGCATCCCCCGCGCCATCGAATTGTAGCGACATTTCACGAGAGATATAGCTTTGACAACAAACCTGGATCTTCTACTTTGCAATTAGGAACAATCGTCCGACATGAGGACCGTCTGTGCCGCGTTAAATTGCAAATATTCCTCGGAAAGCAAGGACTCGTCGAATGTCACTTTTATCAATTTTCCCAACGATGACACGTAAGTAAAATATTTGTTTTTATAGGTTAACCGAATAGGAATTTTTCGAACGTTTTTACGTTTATTCTTGACGATGCTTTGTTATGAAATTTATTTTTTTCTTCCTCATTGTTGCTCGAAAACTATCTATATGGTTATCATACTTAAGTTATTGTTTTATAATTCGAAATTTGACAATGATTTTTGTAGAGCCAAAGTATGGGCGGAATGTTGCGGCAGATTGGATTTAATCACAAAGTCGAATGCGGAACTGCATTTGAATTATTACATTTGTTCCCACCACATTGAAGATCACTGTTACGCCAGCAAAACCGTTCCCGTTGTTGTGGAGGAAGGTGCCACCCCTACTTTGTTTGGGACTGGCTTGGCTACCGACGGTAAAGATTCGATAAATATATTTGATAAGGCGCAGCATCTCCAGGAAGTAGGTGACAGTGTGCCTCTAACGTATAACGATATGAACGTCGAGGTGGACGAGTATCGCAACATCTCTGTCAAATTTGTCAATTTATGTCGAATCTGTGGCAAATCCGCTCTGGATGGAATAGATATATTTGCAACCAAAGGCGTAGAGCTTAAATTAAAGGAAAGAATAAATCTGCATATGCCTATCTCGATTGACATAAACGATTCGTTGCCACAGAAAGTATGTACTGATTGCTGTAACAAATTAGAAATTGCGCATTCACTAGTCATTTCATGTCTGAGAACAGATATGCGTTTGAAACAATTTCTAAATATCGAGAGAGAGGTAAGAGTTAGTGTAACATTATTCGATCGTAATTATAAATATTTTTGTAAGCCACATTTATTTGTGGAAAATGTATTTCAAATATGTATATTATATAATTGGTAAATGTTTCGTTTTGCAGCCGGAATATGAGAACAAGTACAATGCACTGATTGACGAATGTTCATTGGAGTTAGTTCAAGAAATGTGTATGGACGACAATGTGCATCCCAATTTATTTACGATAAATAAGACGATAAACTCTGAATCAAGTTTGAGAGGATTGGGAAATGGAGAGTGTTTCGAAATACAAAATAATAATTTTCAGAGCATTGCCAAAAGTGTTGTGCCACTAGAGCTCAATACTCTAATTCAAACTTGTGGAGAAGTTACCAGTAAATGTAACACAAGTAAGACTACCACGGAAGAGACATCGAACGTGCAGCAAGATAAGATTCAGAATGGAAGTCTCAGCGTTTTATGCCTACAGTGTCAAACTCTCTGTGAAACACAGGAGATATTTGAGAGTCATAAAATATTTTGCAGTAAGCAAAATGCGTCTAAACATATAGATACGTGTAGGACTGCTAAAAACGGAAAGTACGGAAACAAGCAAATTAATCGGGAAGTAGAAAGTTCCCAGGCATGCAACGAAACATTTGATGGCAAGCAAGTTATTGATAATGTTAAAAGCCGCGAGTCGATGCATTGTACCATTTGCAACCGAGCATTCGAATGTCAGCAGGATTACGACAATCACAAATACCTTCATGAAAATCTTACGAGCGAAGCGAATAAAAGATGCGGCCATTGTGAACAAGTATATCACAACAGAAAAGACTTGTTAATTCATATCATGGAATCGCACGAGGGACGATTGTCGTTTAAGTGCTCTACATGCGACAAAACGTACGAGAAGTGGTATAGTCTAGACATTCACGAAGCTACTCACAGAATAGATAAGCCCTATCTTTGCGATACGTGCGGGAAAAGCTTTAAGCATTCCAATAATTTGAGGGGTCACAAAAGAATTCATTTGGACGAGGCTGTAAAGAAAAGGCACGTGTGCCAGATCTGTGGCAATGCGTTTAGATCACGGTAGTAATCGCAGAAGTTTTATTCTCAAAATTATTTTAGCTAAATTCATAAAAACAGATTTATCTTTTACTTACTTTTTTTGTGTACAGATTTCATTTGCAAGAACATATGAATCAACATGATGATAACAGACCTTATTCTTGTGAACAATGCGGGAAATCTTTCTACAAGAGGGTTCAATTGCGACAACACAAATTATCGCATGGCTCTAATAGTCACGTATGTCCGATTTGCGGGGCAACGTTTAATCGTAGAGGGAACATGAACGCGCACATGAAACGGCATAATAACGATAATGGAGGATATACATGCAGCGTGAGTATTTTGTAAAAACTGTGTAAATTATTACATTTTCTGTTTTTATATTATTTAATATATCATTGATATCAACTATATTCTCATTTATATTGATAGGAAAAATTATACGCTTTATTACAGGTTTGTACTTACAAATGTAAATCTATGAGCGAGTTGAAGATACACAGGAAAAAGCATTCCGAGGAGGAAATAGTAGACAGCATTAAAAAGAAATGCGCCGATAAGGAGGTGTGGCGTTGTAATATTTGCAACAAGATATTCGCGAAGCGCGCTTTCTTGTTATATCACGAGCGCGTACACGGAGACGATAAGTTTTACGAGTGCGATGAATGCGGCAAGAAATTAGCGAGCAAGAGCTCGCTGATGTATCACAAGAAGTCGATGCATTTGAGGGAGAAGCCGCACATGTGTCACTACTGCGGCGATTCGTTCGTCTCGAGAGAGGCACGGCTGATTCACGAGAGGATACACACCGGCGAACGCCCGTACGTCTGCAAGGTGTGCAATATGCGGTACAGATGCTCCAGTAATCTCAGCCAGCACATGAAGATCCACACGGGTCTGAAGCCGCACAAGTGCCATTTCTGCAACAAAGGTTTTACGCGCAAAGGCGCGCTAACCGTGCACGAGAGAATCCACACGGGTGTTAAGCCTTATCCTTGCGAGACCTGCGGTAAAAGCTTCTCGCAGAAGAACGACATGTTGAAGCACGCCAAACGCACAACGGCGGACCGATGCGGCGCGGTTGGTGCGAAATCTGTAAATGGAAAAAGGAATACTGTCGTGCACGAACAAGATTCCTTAGTAATATCGAATGTCAACGCGTCACATTCTTCAAATTTATGCCAATAGCCTAGTGTCTCTTCGGAAATTAAATAATTTTAGTAGATACATGGCAATTGCATACGATGAAACATCAGTTACGTATAAAGAGAGCAAGCATTAAAATCCATTTTTGTCCAGTTATTATCGAGAAAGGTACGAAAAAATTGTATTTGGAAAACGCTGACTTTTCTATCGACTCTATACGCCATCATTTATTCGCTAAATTCTAATTATTTCTTTATCTCATATGTTACAGATTCCCGATTAATAAAAGTTCTTAAAGGATGTAAAAAATTACCGTACTTTTATGACTAAATACTTACAAGAATGGAGTTTTTTTTTAAGTTGTTAATGAATGACGGTATAAAAATCCTAAGAATATAGATATAAGTCAGACAAAACTATTTCATGCTGGTAAAATAATATTTCTGACTGATTATATTACTCTTATTGGATATATGCATGGTTGAAAGATTGATGTGCCATCTGAGTATCCATAAACAGAAATAGTGTATTGAGCTGAATATATCGACATTTTCGATATGTAAGTATAATATAATAATTTTTATTGCCTTCCTTAATCTGCTTATCTTGAAGTTCATCTAAAAATCGCATTTATACTTAAGTTCAAATATATGCAATTTATTTTATCATCTTCTATGATAAGACTAAAGTAAATATTTTTATTATATTTAATATAAAATTCTTAAATTTTCTTCAGGTACCTGAGAAGCTGCATATCAGGCTTCGTAAAGAAGATCATGTGCGATTTATGGTGATTTGATGGAATCTGATGCTAAGCATCTCCGTAAAAAAATTGCAATTTGCTAACGAATTGCATCAATATCTATAATACGAGAAAAAAATAAAGATCGCTTTGCAAAATCATTTCATTGAATGTAAAGGCAATGCTCAGTTATATGCAAGTTGGCTTGGCGAGCCAATCGCCTGAAAGTGCTCATCTCTACATCTCGACACAGCCCTCTCCGTATTGCTAAAAGATGAGATGCAATAAAAGTCATTGTTATATATAGAATAATACTCTTTATTGTTTTTGATAGTTGTTGTTTTTCATATCGTGCGCTGCAGTTTCTTTTTACTCAACTTTTGTCATTCAATATCCAGTTAAACGACTCCCCGTTTTACTGTCAGTTCTGCTGCTGCTGCTGCTAATATATTTTGGTAGAACAGTACGTGATACAACTCCACGATTTTAGAACAAAGAGAAACGAAAAGGAAATGGCGACACGCCCGATCACTCGCTAACACACGTGTGCCGTATTATTCGTCGACCGCATATAGGACTAGAGTAATTGCGATTTCTCTCCCGTGTAACACTCGTTCGCCGATTATATATATATATATTTTTTTCTCAATTCCTAAATGATCGAGGAGCACACGTGCTTTTTGTGCGCAAGTAAAAACGTGAGCCCGATCGAGTCGCGTGCGTTTTTCGTTTTGCTCGCTCGAAACGGCGGCGACCGACGGCCGGTGGTCTTTCTCTCAAAAGTTCGTCACATACGTTCGTAATTTGCAAATGTTTCTTCCCCCCCCCTTAATTTTTTTCCTTTTTAGAAACGCAACGGTCTCGCAGTGTCACGCTCCTCCTACATTACGATCGAGTGATCGGCGCGTGGTCGTCGACGATACAATTACGCATCTCTCAGAGTTATAATCTCCGGCTCTGTTAAAAACGCGCGTACCCGGCACGCGCGTTTGCGAGCGCACGGCGTCAGGGATCGTAGTCAAGGCGGACGACTCGAAGAAGAGTTCGTTCGAGAGCGCGGAACAATTTTTTTTCAGCGATGTCTCCACACTCGATCGCACGCCGCGGTCAGCCGCGGGCTCGTGTTCGCTCGCGAAACGGAAGCGAAAACGGCACCCCGTGTACGGGGGTGTGCGCTGCTGGGGCAGCGGGAGAGAACGCCTCCGAGCTCTCGCCGTCCCGTCGCGACGAGACTTACTTCCTAACGCACTTCCGGAAAGCGCTTGATGTGATCCGGATGATCCCCGAAAGTGCCGCTGTTTGTGTGCCGTGCGTTTGCTCGACGCGGCCGACGACACCGCCTCGACTCGCGACCGCCCACCCCTTTTCTCTTCTTTTTTTTTACCCCATATTACTCTCTCGCCTTCTTTAAATTAATTATCTCTGTGTTTCTCTCTGTAACCATCGTTTCTTCGCGCTACTATTTACAATGTACAATCGTGCATCCTTCCTGCCCTAATTTTTCTTACGACGGCGCCGAGTCACGCGCGCGTTCGATCGCTTCCCAATCGACGGCTGCGCTCGCTGTCGTCCCTTTCTCGCTTCCCTGGAACTTTTGCTCCTCGTTTACAACCTTCTCGCGGGACGAGGGAACCGAGTCGAGGGGAGAAATCGGTTTGTGCAATGACGGCTCGAGCTTTACGTAATATGTAAGGTAAACGATTCTCAATCAGAGAACGTCATTGACATAAATTTATGCTGATGAACATGAGCTCGATGTTAAGACAAAGTACGAGTTTAATATGAATTGTTCGCGTTGAAAAAAAAATATTTTAGATACAACGTTTTTATCAAATTTTATGCAATCGTTAAAACGCAACGATCTCTTTGATTGTAAAGTCGGTTCGGAAAAATTGCTCAACGAACACGAGAGAAGGGAAGAATTTCGATGAGTATATACCGTTGAATGGCCGCGAGCCGTCATAAGCGCGAATGAAAATGAATTTTCGCCCGAATATCACCGTGACGATGAGGAAGAATCGATCGCGTACTTCGTCGACGCCTCATATTATTTACCAAGATAAATATATACATATATATGCATATAATAATAATAATAATAATCTTATACACATATACACGCACACGCACACGTACACGTATACGCATACATATATATATACACTTTTTCTTTATAATATATAATATATATCTTATTTATATATATTTTCTCAATATTAAACTTATTATATCCTCTTTTCATTTCGCTTAACGTATCTTCGCGCACGCTATTTATACTATTTACAAACGCCTCCATCCGGCATCCCGTTAAAAGAAAAAAAAGAGAGAGAGAGAAAAAGGAAAAATGGAGAAAGGGAAGAACGGGAAGAAGCGCGATAAACGCTAGTAGAGTATCGTGTCGCACACACCGCTGCCACTTGTATGCACGTCGGCGGCGTGCCGAGGACTTCGCGCCGCGGCCTTGCCGTCGCGCTTAACAGCCGTAACTTTCTCCCTTCGGCGGTTTTTAGGCACTTCACGAGATACGCGTGTCCGATCGCGAGCTACGCGTGTGATCGCGAAAAGGGGGACAGGGGGAGGGTGAAGGAGAAAAAGCAAAACATCACGTACCGATGCCGCGCGACAGCGCTCGCAGATTCTCGCGCTTTAATTCGCTTCGGCGTGGGAGCTGGACGCTGGACCATCTCACGAGGACCGTATCCAACTACCATTTACGTGCGATCGCGAGATTCCGCTGCTGGCGCGCGGAAAGTATCCGGTATTATTTAATTTTTTTCAGAATATGCTCAAAAATTTTCACGCCTCCAAATAAACGGAAGTAATCATATCAACATATAATATCTCTTCGATCGAGATACATTGAATTACTTTACTCAATCTATCTCGAAGTAGAGAAGAAAGGGTTTTAATTTACGGAAACGTAAATTGCGATTTAAGACACGCGCGACTTGTACGATTCTCCGCTTCCGGTAGCTTCGCTCGGTATTAACAACATCATGGAAGAACAAACGCGGCTGCTCCACATAGAAAAACATAGTGAGTAAAGCGTTGATCAAGTCAGTTAACTCATTGCTCACCAAATTTAACGAAAAATCGGCGATTTACAGTGACTTATGGCGACAGAATTACTAATCGTACTTAAAGTTACATTAAATCATAATTACATTAATTATGAATAATTATCATGGCATGTGAGGAAAGTGAGTACTTTCTTAGAAAAAGGATATTGCATCATCCCGTTTTTCTCGCGGAGCAGTCAAACGCACACCGAATCCTTCCTTCAGCGGACGATAACCGGAGGGTGAATCGGATTAGAAACATAAAACTCGCCTGTCAAATTCGTCTTCCGCTCGTCTCGATCCGGTCGGCGCGGCGGGATGTCCCGGAGTTACGAACGTAGTTTCGAAAATTGAGTATTTTTCTAATTTCGGCTAAGGGACATTGAAGAGATTTAGATTTGAGTTTTATCGAATCACAGTCCGGCGGATACAAGTTTTCGTGTAAACGCTAGCGGCGAAAGACAGCCGGATGTTCGCCAATTCGACAGCTTAGGATCCTACCTTAGATCTAAAACGAACTCTCTTTCTCTCTCTCTGTCGGAAAGGAGCTACTCTCCCGCCTAATCACACTGCTCTTTCCCTGAGAGGTGCGAGCCCCTTGCATCTGCTCGGCTTGCGATCCCGTTTCACCCGCCGTTTTAATAAAACGTTCGACGCCCAACGCGCATACAACGCATACGCAAAGGACCCGTGTGTGACACTCGCGCCGCGGCCAGACGCATGGATTTGTACGTACGCTCTTTCCCTAAATTCCCCGCAGCTTGTTAAAAGTAATATTGCTCGTCGTTTCCGCGGAGAAATCGCGCGGAGAAAGGGGAGGGGGAGGATGGGGAGCGTTACCGTTCGTCGGAGAAGGGCGGTTTGGTGAAAGGGGAACGGTTGCGGAAAGGGGGGAGGGAGGGAGGGAGGGAGGAAGGAAGGGAGGGAAAGGAGATGCACGTTTGAGAGGAGGTGTGTGCCGATCGTATGTGTGCTATAGTACAAAGTAGAAAATGGAACTTGAGGAAGGATCTTCGAAGGAGCGAGGATAGTCGACGCGACTCGCAGGGTGGGACAAAGGTGTGAAGGTCTCTTCTTTCTCGACGATTCGCGTTTATGCTTAAGAGCTTAGACTTAGTAAGTAACGCATATTATATGTATATGTATGTACAACAAGTACCTAGCATACCTCGCGTATATCTCCGTGTATGTGTTACCGTATAGATGTGTTGTTTGTGCTTGTGTCGCGTTTTGTGTTTGTGTCCGCGTGTCATATAAGAGAGAACATCATTATATATAATTACAATTTAAATCAACTCTATATCGCGTTAATTACATCATCCCTTTTTACACACACATACGCGCGCTCCTTGCTCTCCCTTGTCATCTCCCGCACACTCACACATTCACCCTCGCGTTTAAGTAATCAGTCGAGTCGATAAGTTACTATTATTACTCTCTTTTCGTAACGTTAGACTTTCTTAAAATCGTTTAGCTTTTAAGTATAGCTGCTCTTGAATGGATTCGTGGACGTTGAGGGCGAGATCGCGCACGGATTCACGCGAGAAGATGCGTCCGGGGTCGAGCGGGCTTTTAAATCGACCTTTAACTCCGAGCGTTTCGCCTTCTTCACGCGTGCGCACGCCGGCCACTCTCTCTATTTTATATATTTATATGTATGCATATATATATTTATATTTATATATACATATATTATATATATACATATATATGATACATTTACGGGAGATCAGTGGCGCGCAGTGGCCACCGTGCGACGATCCGAAGGGGAGAACGTTATCCCGATCTCTAAAATGCAGGTACATTTGTCGACGTCGTATGTCGAGACACAAGATATCCACACGAAGGCGCCGGCGTCTCGCGTTAATCTCCTTGGGATGTGTCAACTATCTCTTACACACATACAAACGCGCGTGCACATACATACAAACAAACAAACAAACGTATACGATGCGTGACGTGGCCTGTTGTCCTTTCTCAATTATCTCCCTTCATAATTTTTCAATGATTCTCTCTTTCCGGCATTGAAGGAACGAAGGGAGTTCTAACATCTTTAAAAAATTGTAATTTTTTAAAAATCTCATTATAATTTACTGCAGTAAATTGTATTAAACTTAAAAATTTTATGAAATTTTTATGTTTAATACTTCCCCATTTTATATCCCGTTTCACTCTTCTACTCGCGTCAATTTTAGTATATAATGAACTTCCCGTATTCTTTCTTTCTTTTCTGTAGATGTTTTAATATTTTTGTATTTATTTATTCGTAGGAAGCTTGATGGTCATTCTGATAAAATAATTAAGCGGAGTTCGCATTTAAAATCGAGTTATGCCGGCCCACGTCATGCATTTTAGGGTTAATCCGTTGCGTTGAAGCTTAATGGACTTTGAAAACCTAATGGACTACTTTGCATGCTTAATTTTCACATTTCAACTTGCTATTAGACTTTGTGATTGAGACAATCATGATATACACTTTCCCGCTGAGTCGCGGTGGTAAAAAAGAAGTGTTGAAAGAATTCTAGACATTGTTACTCGCTGAAAGAATAATCGTTGTACAGATTGCTATTATTAATCAGTGAACGTCCGCGTTAAGGAACACGCGTCGATTTAACGTAAAAACAACAAATATATACCTTCAGACCCCATATATTCAAATTTTACATTTATTGCTTCATTAATATCACTATCACTACTGCTGCTCTTTCATGAATTATTTTGATTTATATCAAATAATTTAATAATTATTTGTACATATAACTACATTTGATAAATTCAACAGAATATCTAGAAAATTTTACAAGTTCCTTAAACGGACGTACTCTGATTAAATCGCATATTTTAACCTAGCTCAAATACGTCCCGTAGTTCCAACGCAAATGTTTCAACCCTCTTTCTCATCGTTCTTTCGCTTTCTCGCAACATGTAAATAATCGAGACCCAATTGCACCAGTCCGATTCAACCTGTTCAATGATCTACAGTACATTCATAAATTATGACTCTTTAAAATGCGATGGACGTATCAGCTTAGGTCCCATGTACATGTCTCCATGTATCAGTGACAGATAAAAATGATGTACGGTCAAGTATTTTAAGAACATCGTACAGGATACGATTAGTTTTTTTACAGAGTCAAGTCCTTTTAATTAATAATCTCTCGCGGCGATGAGATACTCGAACAAGCAAAATCTACGTTGGACCGCGCGATTGGTGGTGCCGAAAGGTATCTCGAGACGCCGACATCTCCGACTTACATCGCATCACGCTTACGATGGCAGGACACGCGTCACGATGACCCCGAGCGACGGATGCTGCGAACGATCTGTGCGAATTCGGTACGTCTTCGGCTTAATGTATGCCCGTGCTATGTATCTCTATATATGTACGTGTGTGTGTGTGTGTGTGTGTGTGTGTGTGTGTGTGTGTGTGTGTATGTGTCCAAAGGATAGAAGCACCAGGATGCTGTAGCACCGTACAACTTGCGTGCGCTCACACTCGCACGTGTCTCTTCGTGTAATATAGGCCACGGCAGTCGTATGTATGTACTGTCTGTCTGTATGTGCGTGTATGTGTTGAATGCGTGTCCGTGTACATATATATGCGCGAGTAGCGTATCATCGGTGATTATCATCGATTGTTTTTCCCAGAGACGCGGACCCCGACATCGCATGCTGTTCCACGAAGAAAATCCCCCGGACAATCTGAGGCTGTGAACGGCGAGGAGAACAGAAGCTCCCCGGGCCGGAAGACTTCGATTGCAACATTCTCGTCGATTTTTCCAGCCCCGAAGAGGAAGCTTCTTCGTACTCGACGTAGCCAATACCATTTTCCCTCTCTCTGTGCATTTACTTGTATGTCTTAATTACTTTTCGGAGAATTCGCACGTGGATTTACGAGCTCGCAGATGCAACTATAAAAACACTGCTTCAATTTTCCTATCTCTATGTATTAAATTGTTATTGAAGAATACCTGACGAATGATGATTACCCGACAGTTCTTTCTCAAATCTTGATAGAAATTATCCCGAGGCGCGTGTCAACTGCGCTTGCACCTGGCCTCGAAATTCCACGGCGGAGGAGATGATACATGCGAGTGATCTTGTATGCGGTAGCTTGATACGAAAATTTACCGTCCGAATATTTGTCAGGACACCAGATCATCGCGAGTAGCAGCACCTGTCGACACGCGGACAGTAAAGGCTTTCTTTCCCCTTGTCTCAACCCTTCTCCCTTCTTCTCTCTCCCCCGTTCTTAACTCGTTCGTTAAGCCCTCAGAGCGCTCTATTTTGTCTGCACCTGCGGATGCCGCGTGTCATGACGCGTCCCTCGGGGAGCAGATACGTTGGGAGACACGTTGATTAGCGATAGTAATAATAGTAGTAGTAGTAATAGTATTAGTAAGAGTAGTAATATAATATTACTAGCAATAGTAGCAATAGTAATAGAAGTAACGATAACGATAGTGGTAAATAGTCGCGGGAGGGACAGTAGTAGAAGTAATGGTAACGATAGGGTCAGTAATGGTGATAGTAGTAGTAGTAGTAGTAGTAGCGGTGGTAAAAAGAGCGGAGGAAGAACAAAAGTGTCACAGAAGGTTGTATCGGTATCGGTGTACGTGTCCGTTTGTATGTATTAGTGTGTACACGTGTAATTGACGCGACAATAAATTAACGCGAAACAGAAAGATGAAGGCGGCTCCTCGAGAGTCGCCGGCCGGACGTCGAGCGCTCCAGAGGGTGGACGAGAGATCCGTATTCACTACCGCCTCTCGCCCGCGCGCCTTCCCAGAATCCGCGTTGGCTACCGCCGCGGATTTATTTGCCCTGCGGCGTCAGCGGATAGAAATCGATGAGATGACTCAACGATGTCAAAGTCGAGGGCTATGATCCTACACACATCAACGACTCGTGCGTACTACTGCTGCTACCAACGTTGCTGACGCCGGCACTTCCGATGACATTGCTATTGCCGCAGCTGCTGCCGCAACTGCTCCCCGACGACATTAGGTGTTGTTGTTGCTGCTGCTGCTGCTGCTGCTGCTGTTGGTGATGATGATGCTGATGGTGATGGTGGTGATGGTGATGGTGATGGTGATGATGCTGTTCCTGGGTTGTCGTTGTACTTCTCAAAATATCATCCGCCGAAAGAGGCGTGAGCTTCCACCCGGGCATAAAGTCCAGGTCGAGATCGGGCCCAATGTCTACATCCAGTAGTTCGTTGTTGTTGAGCGGGTCGAGCGGCGATTGGCTCGACAGAGATAGTACGCTACCCCAATTGATCGATCGGCTATCGTCGCTGTCACCGATGCCGGAATCGACGTCGGTCTCGCCCGACGACGTCGGCGGCACAGGGAAAGGCGTTAACCTGCCCTGCTCGGGCGGTTGCAGTTGAGCGATCGGCGCCGGCACGACCGGCTCCATGGGCGGTGGACTCCTGTCCCTCTCCATCTCGCGTTCTAGGTGTCTCAAAGTGTTGCAGATCAATACCGATCGGTGGAGGCTCGGATCCGGGAATTGGCGGTACCTGGCGAGTTTGCACATAGAGATGTTGAGCACGGCGAGTCGTCGCTGCCGGTAGCAGGCTCGACCGCGCCGACACCAGCTGGACTTGGAACCTTCGCAGCATCGTTCGTTCGCCCGGTAACTTGAACCGAGCTCCAGATAGCTCTTGCCATTTTCCTCGCGACGTATCGTTGGCGGCTCGTAATGATGAAGGGCGCCCCATTGCGGCTGAGATCTCGACAGCTGGCTATAACCATTGCTGCCAATAGGACTGACGGCGGCGCGTTGATGGTGATAATAATGTTGCGTATGGTGATGCAACTGTGTCACCGTGGACGAGGCCGATGTCGAGGATGACGCTGGCGATTGTTGCTGCTGCTGCTGCTGCTGCGATTGCTGCTGCTGCTGTTGTGCCTGTTGCGGTGATTGGGAAGATGAATGGTGCTGCGACGGATGTTGCTGAGATTGTTGCGGTTGCTGTTGCTGCTGCGACTGCGAGGAACTCGTCGCCGAGGGCTGGCACGGGTTCGTCGTCTGTAGGCAGGGCGAGCTCACTTCCATCTCGTAATACGACGTCGACGTCTGGTTCAGGGGCGGCCCGTAACTGTCGTCCATCGCCCACCAGCTACCGTCCACGCGTCCGAGTTTCGATGGACTCTCGCCTAAGTCCATGTGGAATTCCATGCAGCCGACACCACCCTCTAATTTGCGTTTTCCTGCCGTCGCCTGCAGACCCATCATTGCACAACTCTGAAAGCATCCAAAAATCGAGCTAACATTAGTTTCATGTATTTCTTCGCGCGCATCTAATTCTATTTAAACAAAAGACGTAGTTATCTCTAGTTATAATTTCATTATCTTATATATTCAGCCGCTACGACTAAATTTATTAAGGGTCAGTTAATTATCTCAAAGTTGTACTCGTCGGTGTTGATGTAACAAAGTCGAATAGGCGCGTTTAGTTTTGCGCTCGGAGGCGAGAGAGTAGGCACGAGAGGACATGACTCAGACGCTCGGCACTCCGTCGGAGCGATGGAAAAAGTGACGTCACGCGACTCCCTAGCTCCGCCGGGAAGAAATCATCAGCGGAACGCGGACGATCGCTCGCTGGCGAGCGAGTCAGCCTCAGACTTCCAGCAGCAGTATCTTAAAGACACTCACTGATAGATGTACGACAAAGGAGCCCATAAGCGAGACAAAGAGAAGCTGTATCCAATTTTTCGACGCGTTCATAATTTTATAAGCTGCAAAACAGCCTGATAATCTAAATCATTTTTGCTTAAATAAAAAAATTTATATACGTATCAAGTTTCAGAATTCAACTAATAGAAATATCTTTATCGTCCGATTCTATATTTTATTTGTTTAACGTAAAAAATCGCATGAGTTTTTCCCGTGAACTTGGGAATGAGGTCGATACATGAGTATTATAATTTCTCTTCATCTTCGTCGATCGCAGGGCGGATCGAACTCGCGTGCGTATCTTGGCGCCGCGGACCCTACGAAAGCAGTACCCACGCAGCCGTGGATGATTTACGCGCGTACGAGGTCGCGCGAGTGAAAGTAAGTAAATAATCGTTCCTCCCTCCAAGCCCTTGCTCACCTCGGGAGACAGAGAGACGCGTTTCTCCGCTGGCGCGAGCAAGAACGCGTTCTCGCGAGCGTGAGAAAGAGAGGCCGGGAGTAGGGGGGGGAGTTAGAAGGGTGAGAGGCCGGCGATGATGAAGAGGGGAAGAGGGGGGGGG